CTGTAACAGAGCATAAGCAAGTTTTTATTCACCTTGTTCACGTCGTAGTGCAGTGGTGGTGGAGCCCACTTCAGAAGACTTACACACAGAAATTGCTGGCAGGCACAAACCAGGTGTTTTTGTCAACTTGCTGATGTGCATGTGTGAGGAGCAAAACACCATTTGTAATTCTCTTTTGACATCCAGCCTATTGTGGCTGTGTTCTGCTGTGCATAGTAATGCACTGACTCTGCATAGCAATACACTGACTAACCACAGTCATTTGGTTAAAAGATTGCTGCCTTCCATCTCCAGAACACACTGACATGCAGCTAATACTTAAAATTACAGAAATAGACAGTAGCTCTGTCAGCAGACCTTCAGCAGCAGGACCTTTACAACCTGCTCAGCAATTCAGTTTTTATATGACTTAAATAGCAATGACACGTGCTGTATAGCCTAATAAAATGGCCTCAGTGTAGTACTTGATAAATATTTCTTACCATCACGAATTCATAAAGAAGGTGAGAGCAGATTAACAGGTCAGGATGGAGGTTGAGCTGAAGAGAGGGGGCACGTTCCCAGCACTGAGCTATGCATGGCGTAAGATTTCAGCATGAGGAGACTGATTGCAGTTGTGGTGTGAGTTTTTGTTGGCTGACTCCATGCTTTCCTAGAATAGGTGGATTATTCTGAAGCAGCAAACTGAAAGGGTTTCATGTCATTAAGTTTTCAGGGACCTAGAACAGAGTTTTTGTGATGTGAGGTAAAGCTAACATGCCCTGGTGTATATGCACAGCAGTTCAAAGGTACAGTTGTGCTATGGCTGCCTTCATCCCCAAATGCTGGTGACCTTGAGAGCTCAAAGGCTCTGTTGCTACAGTGTCAGCAGCACTGAAAGGTTTGTAGCTCTTGGAGTGAGCCATTTGCTGAAGAATTGCTCCCACTAGACACCATTTGGTTTTTCTGCGATTCTGCTGTAACTCAAGGTATTCAGGGAAAAAAAGATCCTGTTCCTACAATGCTGCTGCATACCAAACTTTTGAGGTAGGCATTCAGCAAGTAAAAATCATCTCAGGAGTTGTTGTCTCTGTCCTTATCTTTGGCTTATTGAGGTGGATTCAGCATTATTTTAGCACCTAGCTCAGCATCTTCCTTTCCTTAATTTCTATCACTCCTTGTTCTCAACATCTGTCCTCAGCACCTTTCCATTAACACTATCTCAGGTGACCACCTTGCAGGGTGCCTGTGCACAGATTGTCTTCCTTCCTTTTCCTCTGTCAGGCTTCTCCTTGCTGGAGGGAATAGGGACCCTCATCCATCTCTCCTGGGCACTCCCAAGGATGGTATATGTTAGAGAGCCATCTCCCAGACCTGCTTCCACTTAAAAGGCATGGTCATGCTCTGTGTCTGCACACTGGACAGACATGGACGGGTTTGGGTCTAAGTTTGAGGATAAGCTCTTTAGGACCAGGTGGAAATGGGGTACTACTCACAAACTAATAATAAACATACAAAGCAATGCTCATTTTATCTGTGTTCCCCCAAAAGGGCTGACACAAACCCTGGCAGTAAAGGTTAAAAAGCCTACCTGGCTCAGTGCTTTTCATTCTGTGTGGATAGATTCTCTGCCACTTCACCAGTCTTCCCCCCTCCCTCCTCTGGAGAATTTAAATACACCTTCCCACATGATGCAGGCAGGCACATGAGCTGCCCAGGAGCACAGACCAACTCTCCAAACTACTAAATCACGTTTGCTGCTGCTTCTGTGCATGCAGGAGGGAAAGCAATTACCAGGCTTGGAGAGAGCTTAATGGGAAGGGGGCAAGACTTTTAATAGTATTTTTCTGTGTAAGCACAAACATCCCCAAAAGCTGTGGCTGAGTTATAGGAATACAGTAAGCTTGCTGAGTAGGCAAGTGCTGTGTCAACAGGTAAAAGCTCTCAGTCCTGATAGTTTGTGAGCAGGGATGGTGATCCATCAGCCTGGGCCTCACACAGATAACTCCTGGGTTACTGCAAGGTGGGAAGAGCAGCTGAGAGGGAGCTGGAAGGGGGAAAGCTGCTGGCTGCCAAGAAGGCTTTGAGTGGGGGGGATGCTAGCTGCTGGGCTCAATTTTCAAAAGCCTCCATTTTGGATTAAAGTGTATCTTTAAGCCTGTGAATCAACCGATTTTCAGCATGAGTTGGGCCTTTGATGTTTTAGAAATTCCCACCCTTAATCTCTGGGGAAGGCTCTGGTATAGCAGGTGCTGAGCTCTGGGCACCTGCTATACCAGAGCCGTCCCCAGAGATGAAGGTTGGGCACGTGTGATTAGTCCAGACTGAGGACTTCTCTGCCTGCTGTAACATTCACCACAGTTGTTACCTTTCCTAGAGACAGAAATCCATCTGCTTTCAGTGGAACTCCTCATGTGCTTGACATGGTGCAGCCTGCTGAATTGAGAGGCTGATCACTTGGGCCCTAATCCTGCAAATATTTACCCATGGGCTTTAGCTCTGTTACAGGAATAGTCCAGTTGACTTTGGGAAATGACATGTATTAGTAGTGCTGAGCACTTGCATAAGGCCTGGCAGGACCATAGCTCTGGTCCTTTTCAGATTCCCATCCATGAAATGAGTTAATACCCTGATATGGTCCCTTTCTCTGGAAATGTTTGGGTTTGGGGTCACTTACTTATTTGATCAAACAGTTATACTTGAACTTTTTATTGTAACCAAGGAGCTTTAACACTTTGAAGGAGAAAGATCCCATGGTCCCTGCTTTGACAAGCCCTCGATCAAACTGGTGAAAAATATGCCCATACTAAAACAATAAATAGCACAGATTACACAGAAAATTACCCTTCCAGTTCTACAGCTCAACTTTCTCATGACAATTGTCAGCTGAGAGCAAGTATTTCCAGTTCAGCAGCTCAGCCACTTAGATCAGGAAGGGACTGTAAAAGAACAGTTAGACCTTATCAGTTGTCAGAAAACTCTTTAGTGACTTGATTTTTCTTTATAAAATGTAATAACTGTCAGAGATAAAGAATATATCTCTCTTCCCAACTGGCAGCCAAGGGTAGCTGCAAAGGGCAAGCAGCATGGATACTCATAAATGTGTGATTACAGGCCTTTCTACTGATGGAGAGGGGAATATTGATGCAATATTAGTCATTTTTATTGGCTTAATATTCTTCTTTCATAGCAGCATATCCAAACTGCTACATCTTTCTTCACACACAGTCATTGTCCATCTAAGATGCACTGCTGCTCTCTCCATTTCTAATCCAGCGCTTTCCAGCTCCTTGTTAAAAGCCAGAATATGAGGGTTTGCTGTCGTACATTTTCCTTGTCAATCCATCCCTGCCCCTGGAAGGATTTCTTTCCAACTGTGCAATAGCTCCCTCTCCTTCTCTATCATCTGCCCAGTTTCAAGTTACAATCTTTTAGGATGGCAGGGGCCTCTCAAAACATGTTTTTCACTGTGAGTAGAGCAACATGGTCCTTTGTCCTCCTTGGGGCAGACCAGGACCCTGTGATGATAGCCCAGGGAACACCTGTGTGATGGGAACTTGGTTGTGAATGCAGCAACCCAAGTTGTTCTTTAAAGGAAAAAGAAAATAGATTTCCAACCCTGAGTCTTGGGATACAGGGGGTGAGTTGCAGATTGTGAAAGCTGACAGAGAGGCTTTGGGCATGGGCAAGTTGAAGGGAACCCACCAGTGCTCCTTTAGGACTGTGAAAAATAAATAAGGCAAACAATGTCCTTGGAAGGAAACTGTTCTCAGTGTCTGCTCCACCTTCCTTTGGGAAAGAAGCAGTGCTGAGACCAGGGAACAAACAGCTCCATCACAGACCAGATTAATCAGCTGTTCCCTGACTGGACTAGCCAGACTGAGAAAATGGAGAGGGCGCTCCATGGGAAAGAGATCTCTGTCTGTTTAAAGTGCACACTCATGAAGTTAAGATTCCTTTTTCTCCATGGCATTTCTGTTCCTGTTGGGGCTGTTTCCACCATTAAGCCTAATTACTTAGCTTTTTATGTGCTATCCATTTCTTTTCATCATTTTAAAAACTTCAGTTGCCATAACAACATAATGCAATCAGTGAAACATAACAGCTATTTTCTGTAGTCAAGGTCTGTGCACTGTCAAGGATGTGAGCCATTTAAGCAAATCTTCACCATCCCCCTTCCTCCCTCCTCTTTCTCACTCTCTCTTTTTCTCCCTAAACAAGCTCATAACAGGAAGGAGAAACCATGAGGAATAATTAGACACAATAGCCTGAGCAAATCCCAATCGTACTCATGCAGTCTAGTCTAATGAACTTCCAGCACTAATCTTGGAAGTGTTGATGTGCCTTTTTAATCACTTTTTTGATGTCATAGATAGATTAGTTGCATAGATAGTTGCAGCAGGACCTTGATAATCTACACTAGAGTCAGGAGAATGAGAGCCTGTTCAGAGAAATTGAAGAAAATCAAGAGCATTGCATACTTTGTTCATTTCTCTCTAATTCGTTCCTCATTTTCAAATGCTTATTGAGAATGTGTCCATTGTACCATCTTCGTAAATAGAATGGTGTGTGTTTTGTAGATTCATGGAATTCAAGCATGAAAAGTCATAGCATCTATTATTAAATCATTGCTGAAAGGCTGGGAGAAACCGCCACGTTTTTGTGTGGGTGGTGAGACTTGCAACAAAGCATAGTATAACTGCTGGGCTTCTACTGCACACATACATAAAAAGCAGTCTGAAAATAAATCTGGCAGTCTGGTTCAGTGCTATTCTAAGCAGTGTGAATATAAGATATATCCACAACATCTTACTCACTCCTTGACCTCAGTGAAGGCTTTCCTGGAATAGTAACGAGGGAGTTTTGAAGCCCAGGATTTGGCTTAAGCAGCCTCTCTCTGGCAGAGGACTGAATGCTGTGCTTTGTCCTTAGGGAGCTCTTCTGCCACGGGCAGAGCCTTCTAATGGTGTCGAGTTGATCACTGCCTGTTCACTCTTTCCACTTGTCTGCTTGTGTTGCAGCACCTTGTCCAAGCAGAGGAAGAATGTCATCAGCTGTGTCACCGTGCATGACTCCCCCTACTCCGACTCCTCCAGCAACAACAGCCCTTACGCCGTGCAGCACCGCACAGGGCAGAACAATGGGAACAGCTACGACACCAAAGGGGTTCCAGAGACTCACTGCAGTGGGAACCCCCGAACCATCATCGTGCCACCACTGAAAACCCAGGCCAGTGAGGTGTTGGTAGAGTGCGATAGCCTGGCACCAGGTAAATTGCACCTCTTCCGTCAAGAAAATTAGTAAGAAATAAATGATTTATCTTGGAAGAATCTCATTGTTCAGTTTCATTTTGTTTGGTTGGTTGGTTTGTTTTCCAAAGAAACTGTGCTCCTGCACTTCTCTCAAGTGACACATCTGTTCTTGGTAGCCATGTTGCATTATTTGTGTGCCCTGGTTCACTCAGGAGTCGTGGGTCAAGTGTCGGTCCCAGTTAGTTCTGTACAAACCTGAGAACAGAATGCAGCCTTTGGCCCAACATTTGACATGAAAGGCACCCAAATGCAAATGTGAACCTTTGCTGTCTTGCCTTTCCATAGGCCTTCATTAAAACGGGTAAGAGATTGAAAACATGTGAATTTTCATCCCAACTTGTTGATGTTTCTGGGAAGAACATTTCCCCAGGATCTTCACTGTGGACTGATGAGGTTTCCTCATCCAGAACCTCTGCAATGCTAGATAGTGTGATGTGTTAAAAAGGGCTTTATGGTGGAAGCCTGGCCTGAAGCTGTGGGCTTTGAGCTACCTGGCAGTCCTTGCTTTGGATGCACTGCTGGTGAACACAAAGGCTCAAAGGGCGAGCTCCCCACCAGCTTCTCCTTCCTCCCTTCCCACTCACCTGATGTTAGGCAAGCCAGGGCTTTTTTAAGCTGTGCACACCATACTTTCCTTCCTCTCCTTGGGATTTGTACCTGCGTTGTACAGTTCTGCTGGCAGAACATTGTCTCATGGTTCTGAAGGATCTATAAAGCCTGCTCCAGACCTGCTTTGGGTCCAGTTAATCAGGTTTGTTTGTCTGCCTCTAGGATAACAGGTCTGTCGTGTATATCAAACCCTACTGAGGTGTTCTGTTACTTGAGAGAAACAGTTTTCTTAACCTGCTTCTGTTGTATGTCTCCTCCCAAAAGCCACTCTGGAGGAGACTCAGTGAGGAAAAGGTAGGGTGAGCAATTAAACAATGTCATGTAAGCTACAAATGTGTTTCCTTTCCTGGCACAGTCACCACCAGTCACCACTCATCCTCCTACAAGTCCAAGTCCTCCAGCACCGTGACCTCCACCAGCGGTCACTCTTCAGGGAGCTCGTCTGGAGCCGTTGCCTATAGGCAGCAGCGACCAGGAGCACATTTCCAGCAGCAGCAGCCTCTAAATCTAAGTCAGGTAAGTCAATCAAAACTGATTTTGGTGGTGCATCATCCAGCTATTACCTACCACTCCTCCATCGTGGGCTGTCCTGTTCCAGTCTAGTGGCAGTAGGACCCCGTGTTGAGTTTGATCAACTTGTTTCTACTTGACTGCAGACCTTGATCTTCCAGCTCAGGCAGCAGAGGTAGTGCAGATCACACCCCTGAGTGGGCTGGGGGTACTCTTCCTGTGTGTTCGGAAGCCTGGTGGTCTAAAAGAGTGAGTGGGAATAACAGGAGAGGGGAAATGCAGTGACTCAGCCACAAAGGAGTGGAGCAGGAGCATGTAGGAACATCTGAATTCTCCTTAGCTGTAAGTAACTGTGGGGAGAATATCTTCCAAGTGAAGAGAGTGCATAAGCCTGGCTTTGGGACTGGGAGAGAAGTCCCCATCAGAAGGGCCAAGGCAAACCAGAGCCTCTATGTATATAGGTGACCTCATGTAATGAGTTTGATCCATCCTGTGATAAAGCTGGGCTGAGATCTGGACAAATCCCATTTCTTGGCAGCATGCAGTTCTTGAGATGTTTCCCAGTCTGTGATCAGAACTCTCAGGGAGCTTCCCAGGAGCTGCAGGAAATAATGCCTTTTTCACATCCTGCACCTGGGGCCTCTCTCTTCCCAGAGGTGAGCTGAGAAGAGTAGGGAAGTTACAGCTCAGGTACCAGTGTTTCAAGAGGAGAGAGTCTGGAGAGCTCAGAGGACAGTGCTGGCATGCATCCAGAGGTGGATATTAGCAGAACTGTTTTTTAAAAAGAAAACTAATTTGGTGGAGAAGAATGTCTGTTCTCCTTCAATATGCAGAGGAAATTTAAAAATGTGAACAGATTTTAAATAAAAGTGGGTGAAAATGGAGGAAGTGGGCAAGATGCTCTTTGCAAGAGTTGGGGAAGAGTGTGGCTACCATATTTCCACAGTAATGGCACAGAGAGTACTTACAAAATAGATGAAAAGGTTTGGAAGAATAGAAGGAAATAGCATGGAGCATTTTCCTTCTTATCTTCTAATTCCTGCTTTATTAGTAATTTAATACTCTGACTAGAAATGACTAGGAAAACTCCCTACATTTGTGTGCAATGCAAGAAAACAACTTAAAAAATCCCTGGAAAAAAAAAGTACATTGGTCCCTTCCCACTGCTAGAAGTTTCCTGTGCTCAAGTAATTTTAGCTAAGGACAATGAGGGCACCAGGCACCTGCAGGATCTAATCAAGCTGAGAGTTTTCTCCTTAAAAAATAATGTGGTTCTTTTTACTAACCAAGGAAATCATTAACTGCAAATAAATTGCCTGTTCCAGGCATAGTTAGGCAATCTCATTCCCCTGAGCTATCTGTAGACCACAATTTGTCATCAGAGAGTTCACCAGCAAAAAACACTTGTTGCCTGAGCAACTGGACTTGAGGAAGATGTACTTGGGAGCTGGGCATCCAAGGTTGTGTCTTTTGGCAGGTGTGTCAGCAGGTTGTAGCTCAAACTGGGGACTTGCTTACCTTCTGGGGGTCATTTTGGTCCATGTATGAAACTACAGGGTTTCTTACCCTGTAGTTTTGGTCAATGTATGAAACTACAGGGTTATCCTGGGCTTGTGAGGGTCCCACTGCTGTCACCCGTTTTCAAGGGAAGACTGGCTGGATGCTGAGGGTGTCAGGAGGAGCTCAGGAGACTTTCCTGAGGTTCTCCTGGTGTTGCAGGGAGGCTCCCAGACCCTACTGAGGAGGCAAAGAGCCCATCTCTTGTCTTGTAACCACCTATCACTGTTGCTGTCTTTATCCAGGGCCAGCAGCACATCTCGACTGACCGCGCAGGGAGCCACCGGAGACAGCAAGCCTACATCACTCCAACGATAGCTCAGGCCCCGTACTCCTTCCCGCACAATAGCCCCAGCCACGGCACGGTCCATCCCCACCTGGCCGCCGCCGCTCACCTGCCCACCCAGCCCCACCTGTACACATACACGGCCCCCGCCGCCCTGGGCTCCACGGGCACCGTCGCGCACCTGGTGGCCTCGCAGGGCTCGGCCCGGCACGCGGTGCAGCACACCACCTACCCCGCCAGCATCGTCCACCAGGTCCCCGTCAGCATGGGCCCGCGCGTCCTGCCCTCGCCCACCATCCACCCCAGCCAGTACCAGGCTCAGTTTGCCCATCAGACCTATATCAGTGCTTCTCCAGCCTCCACAGTCTACACTGGATACCCACTGAGCCCCACCAAGGTCAACCAGTACCCTTACATCTAAACACTGGAATAAAGAGCGAGAGAGACACACCCGGCCCGGGGGGAGTGAGGCAGCCGCTTTTGTATTGAAGAACATGACAAACTAACAATGCAATGGGAGGCTCGCGTGAAACTTGAACGAAGGAGACTTTAGGAAGAAAAGAAAAAGAGGAAAGAAGGGGGAAAAACCAATTCTACAATTTTTATTTAAAAAAAAAAAAGAAAATGGAAAAAAAGAACAGAAAAAAAAATAAACCAGAAAAAAAAAAAAACAACCATTCTGCACCAAACTAGAGAGAAAGAGAGAAGGAGAAGGACCCTCCAGCGGGTCCTGTCTTTTGAAGAACTTCACCAACAGACTTTTAAAGGTTATTTTCATCCAATAGTGAGCTGCATTTAGAAATTTGTTGTCCAGAACACCTAAAATGAAATCCATTAGGTTTTTAATCCTGTAGGTATATGGATTAGGGATTTATCCAGCATTTCAAAGGGTTTATACAGCAGTTTTTGTATCCCAGGGTATACATAGGTTTGGGGGGATTTTTAACAGAAAAAGAAAGTGGGTAAGGGAGGCTGAGGGTGGAGGACAAAACATTGTCCCAGTGCTCTAAATTTGGGCCTAACACTGCTACCCTTAAACACACCTGGGCAAAACAGGCCATGCAGCACTGGTTGAGAGCAGAAGCAATGGGGGTGTTTCTCCCTCTTCTTGAACACACTGGATAAATCCCTGAGAAATGCTATTCCTAAACAAGATCTCTAATAATGTATGTTGGATTTCAGTTGCTTCTTTTTTTTTAGTTTTTTTGTTTTGTTTTTTTTTGGAAGTGTTCCTTTTTAATCCCTATCCATTTTAGTATAGGAGGAGACATTTTAGCTGCCCTCAACCCCCTGCCCCCAGCCCCGGTAGAATGTAGCACTATACAGGTCATACCCCTTTTTACTCTTTTGTGTTGAACTTCAACGATACCAATAGACTATTCCTCAATGTGATTGCACAAAGAAAAGTGATATAACATAGGCATGTAACAATGTGATTGTCCAGGTGTGTGTGTGTGCGTGTGTGTGTGAGTGCAGATGCTGCCTTCTCTCTGTGATGTGTTCCTCGGCACAGCCATTACAACTGTCACAGTCTTAGTTTTACATCATTCCCTCGTAGTGCCTTACCAAACTACAGACGCGGTTTAAGGGTTTACTTCCACTGGTACTCCTAGAAACTGACTGAGGCTAGTTGGAATTTACTCTCAGCTCTTTTTCTTTCTTCTTCTTCTTCTTCTTTTTTTTTGTTTTTTTGGGGGGGAGGGTGGGGGGGGATTGTTACTGCCGATTTTCTCCTGCTGGTGGTGTTGGGTTTTTTTCTCACGTCGTCAGTCGTAGCTCACTTGGCGAGGTGTTGGGGTGGCTCGTTGGGGTCAGAAGTGCATATAACTGGGTGTTTTGTCAAGCACTGGATGGGCTAGAAGCAACCAGGTCAGTTGTGAGGACCCAGAGAGTCTGGGGACTCATTTGTGGACTGGTCTGTTTCTGTCCTGTTGAAATAGCAGGTTTCCTCCCTGGAAACTGAATTCTCATTCTGCTGTTTGCCGATGTTCTCGATGGAGTGGGAGGACAGTGTCCACCCTCATCATCAGGTTGTCCTGGTCATGTGTCTGAAATGGGAACAAAACTTTAGTCCTTGATAAGGGGAAACACTAGTTGTTGCCAACATCTCTCACTGTGTCTGTTGATGAGAAAGGGTCAGGAAAGGGCTGGAGTCCCAAAGCAAGCATGAGAAAATCCAGTTGAGAGAGTCAATCTCAGGTTTCTTAAGTGAAAAGAGTATTGTAATACATAGAGCCTTACCCACTCTAACATAGCTGTGACACTGTGTGCCTCCCCTGCTCTCTTTTCACCCACACCCCGAAAAACTGCCTGCAATGGCAGAGTGACCCTGGAACTGGAGAGTAGGTTGGTCCTCCACACCAAGGAATGCTACATGGTTGTTTTGTTTTCCAACAGTTGCTAAAGAGAGCCTTTCCTGTCATTGGTTTGGTTCAGCAGGGAGTTTCCCTGGTAATGGCACTTGCACTGGTGCATCAGTACCATCATGCCTGTGGATGTCCTGAGGAGGAAGGAGAGAAAGGAGTTTGGTAGAACGTTTCCATGAAAGCTGAAGTCTATGGGGCTGCTCAGTTCCACTCTACATTTCCTTGTAACTAGAGCATGGAGTAGTCAGGTGTTTTGCAAGATGCTGGAAAATAGCAGGTTTGTTGGCAGGGGGGTGAGGGATGGATTCCCTGAGTGGCAGTGAGGAAGGAGGCTCTCTCAGGTTGGAAAAGCTGACAGAAGGACAAGCACAAATATATTGTTTCGTGGTAAGTGCTTGGCTGGCCTGGAAGACGAAGGGATCCTGCTATGCCTAGGCTGTTCAACAAGGCCATTGTCTTCTGGCAAACCACCAAATAACCTTCCTGGTTGCTAGCTCTGGTTCCTGGGCTACTCTTGCACAGTTTTCTTCTCCTGCCTGTCCTTCATTCCAGCTCACTATACTGTAGATGAGGATGCAATCTCCCAGCAGCCTATGCACCTTACCCCCGCTCTTGTTTTGGAAAGACATGTCCCCTTTCATCTGAGGCAGGAAAATAAAGCCCTGCTCTCTCTCTTGCATTCCTCTCCTCTCTCACCAGTTTGGGAGCGAGAGCATCATGCTGCTTATGTCATGAAAAGGAAAGATAATGTTATTTTATTGTATGGTTATTATGATTATTATTTTATTATTATTATATTTTACTCTGGGTTTTAATTGCACACGCATTCCTTAAACTTTGTGGGGTTTTTTTTTCTCTTATTGTTGTTATTGTTGTTTATTTTATTTCTCTTCATCAGTGGCATTGGAAGGGTTACTGTGATTATGAGAACTGCAGGAGGAAGGAGAAACGAGATTATTCCGATGATGAAAACTCTGCCACTAATCTGGGGGAGTGGGACCGCTCAGTGAGAGTGGTTACAGCCTTGAGGAGCAGGAGTTACCCTCTGGGTCACATCTGCATTTCAGGATAAGTCCAGAAACATTCATTCAGAGGCCAACACCTGCTAGCAGCTAACATAATGATCTGTCAGGAGAGCTGGATCAAAGGCAGGTAAGGACCTTGGTGCCCCAGGGTCCAGCTCACCATCCCTTAGCTTGAAAGAACATTTATATGAGATTAAGACTTGTGCTCCAAGCCATGATCATTGAGCCCTTGCAAAGAACACAAGGCCACACTACATATTAAGGGTTTGGTTTTCCTAAAGGAGGACACGGTTGGATGGCTCTCCAGAAGCAGGGCTATCGAAGGAGCCACAGCAGAGCTGTAAGGGTGGCTCTCAGTCCCATCACTGCATAAAGCACACTGACACACACAGATGGCATTAGCTGGGTAAAGCAGGGCTGCAGACAGGGCAGTGTTGCTCACCTGCTCTTTTCCTCTCACTGAAGACTAATTAGGTGTCCACAGGCCAGGATGCTTGGTTTGATTTTTTTCTTTGTTTGTTCCTGATGTAGATTTTCCCTTCTTTTACAATTCTTTGTTGTGAAATTTCATTATGCTGTTCTGGTTGCTACAGTTTAGGTATTTATGGTTTGATTTGCATCACCTGCTCTTTTAGAATAGGGGGAAGCAGTGACTGAATTTGGATTCCATCAAAAAAATACAGGACTTCAGCAAAGACTAAAAGTTAATCATGCACTTGAGTGAAGAACTTCAAGTTAAATACTTTTTGATGTGCTCCTCTGGCCTAAGATTAGTGAAGCATGGAAGGTTGCAGTCTCAATCACAGTAGTGCTTTACTTGTATTAATTGCATTTTCCCTGTGTACCTATCTGGCCTGCTCTCCCACATGGGCTCAGATCTGATTTTGGGGAGTATTTGGCAGTGGAACTGTTACATCAGCACAGACTGGCAGAGAGAAGGGTTACAGTGCATGTCAGAGAAGCCACCTTTCACATTGTCCATCCTGGAGCTGCTGGTCTGCCAGACTGTCGTGGTGATGGGATGCTGCTTAAAGAGAAGCACAGCACAGCCATCAGATTTCTTTGATGGTGCAGCACTGTGTGAGAGCTGTGTTTTCTGGTGGGTATAAGGGAGCTGAGCAACACCTCCTCCCTCACACTTGTAGAAAGGAATTGTATGGATAAAGGTGTGGTTGGTCATAGGGGAAACACAGTCATTTCAGCAGGGGAAATAAAAGCTTTGCATACTGTCAGTACCACACACGTAATAACAGCCAGCTGGTTTTGCTTGCAGAGTCCTTTGGAGAGGAAATGGGATTGGCATGGTTTGGGTCAGTTGGTGTTCCTTGTGTGCATGGAGTACATGGTGTGGAAACTTGAGGGGGTAGGAGAATGTTTAGATACTGGAAGTTTTATGGGTGGCTTATGGCTGGCAGAGTGAAAAAGTGGTTCTTTTCCCCATTATGTCCTCTTGCCTTCTGCCTGTGCAGGAAGCAGAAGGGAGCACAGACATTGTCTCTCCTCAGGAGGATGTTCTGTTGCCTGCTGTGACGTCAGAATGCAGGAGGGAGGATAACCACTGACATGAGCAGACTGGAAAACCCAAATGGAAGCAGATTTGACTGTCGAGTGGTTAAATCCAGTCATTTGAGAGAGCAAATGCAATTGAATCTTCCTTGGCAGGTTTTACCTGCTTGTACCCAGCAAATTGGGCTTTGGCAGGTCTCTAATTCTCTCTCTTTCTCTAGTAGTTTTGGTGTAATACACAAAACATTCCAAGAAAGGGACACTTTTGACTGTGAAATTTTTCCTTTTTTATATATTCAAGGGATTGTGTATTGTAATTTGGTTTGAAGGCAATTCCATTAGCAATTTGAAGGGCAATAAACCTGTTTTTTTCTTTAACCAAAGAGACTTTATTTTTTTAAAAAAGAGAGAAAGAGACTCCCATCTACTCCAGAAATTAAATGAAGCCACAAATCATGAGCACCAGGCAATGAGGATACACCGTGGAACTCAATCTTTCCATTCACTTCTTTTTTTCTTCTTCTCTCTCTCTCTCAAGTTTCTGACATCTTTTTGAGTAGCTAGCTTGATAAGCAGAGCAGAGAAATTCACACTAAATATTGCTGCTATCCTAAACTGTAGGGGATGTCAAAAACTTTTTTCTTCTCTTGTTATTGTTCACATTGATTTAAGTGTTTTAGTGGTGACATTGCATTGTGCAAATGGTGAGCTCTGTAGTGGGGATAAGCTTCTGGATGCTCTGCATGATTCTGTAGTGTCTCCTCTGGATTTAAGACACTGGTTTTGTTCCTGTGGGTTCATAAAATCATAGAATATGCTGAGTTGGAAGGGACCCATCAAGATCAAGTCCAACTCCTGGCCCTGCAGAGGACACCCCAAGAATGACACCATGTGCCTAAGAGCATTGTCCAAATGCTTCTTGAACTCTGTCAGGCTGTGTGCTGTGACCTCTTCCCTGGGAAGCCTGTTCCAGTGCCCAACCACCCTCAGGGTGAAAAACTTTTTCCTGATATCCCAAACAGCGATGCTGTGGTCAGGCCAGGCACAGCTGGGTGTTGGACTTGGGCTTGTGGTCTTCCATGGCTTTGCAATCATTAGAGATCTGCAGTGCTACTTGTGGGCCAAATCCTGGATACCTGTATGCAAGGTCTGCTGTGGGTAGGCAATACAGATGGGAAAGGTGTGGGAAGGGAATGTTTTCCCTCTTCCTGTTGACATAGCTGTCCCTACCATGGTCCCATTTGCTGTGTGAGCTTCAAAGCAGTTGATACGTGGTCCTGGGCACTTATCCACGTCACCCTCCTGGTGCTCCTGTGAGAAGCACCTGTGTCCCAAGTACCTGGAATCCCCACCTTATTTCTCAAGGCCCACTTCTGTGCCTACAAATCATTTTTCTCC